ACAGACAGACAGACAGACAGACAGACAGACACACACACACACACACTCCTCTCTCTCTCTCTCTCTCTCTCTCTCTCTCTCTCTCTCTCTCTAAATGAGTTTGGAGAATTAAATGAGAATTTACTTAGGTTTAAGTTATAGTTTATACACTCAAAGAGTAACAAAAGCCAGAAAATTAGAATGTGTGAATAAAGGGCAAAACAAAAGCTAACAGCTCAGTTCCCTGACAGACTGTCTAGCAACCTATTGCAATCCAGAAGACATTCTGTCCTTCTGCCCCCTTAATTCTAATCACCAACTACTCTCAGGTTCACCACTTAAACGGCCCAGTGCTTATAGAAGAAAACAAAATATGATCACAAGTGACCAAGATACAGTGTAAATTCAACCTTTCATGGTTATCACCTAGTGTTTCGTGTTTGGGGTTTTGTTTGTTTGAAAACTGGGCCTCACACACTGCTGGCTAGCCTCAAATTTATCATGCAACTATGCATGAATATGTAACCTTGAACTTCTGATTCTCCTGCCTCCACTCTTAAGTGTTGAGATTACTGATGTATGCCACCACATCTGGTTCATATAGTCCTGGGGAGCTGACCCAGAGCTTCATCCATGCCAGGCAAGCATCCTCCTAGCTGAACTATAGCCCCAGCCAAACATGTGCTGTCAGTCATTCTTTTATTGTTTGTTTGTTTGTTTGTTTGTGTTTTATCCCTAGTGGGGTCATGAATCTTAGAGGAGGACCTATTACAGCCAAATTATTAAACCAGCATAATCCCTAACTGTGTTCTAAATATGTATCCTCTACCCACAGATAAACATAGTGTTCGCCCTCATCAAAGAAGCATCTCTGCAACAGAGGGAGACCATTACAGAAAACTGTAACTACTCAGAATGCAGAAAACAGTTGGTCATGTTGTGGCCCCCTCCCAATAGATAAATCTACAGCACAACTTCCACATCTAAGACTCTGAGGACATTGTGGATCAGGATGTGAAAAGACAGTAAGAGCCAAAGGGCCAGGAAATCTGCTGTGAGACTGTCTCCTAGAAATGACAAGGAACATCAGACATGATCCCTCAATAGTGTGGCTGTCAAAACTAGACCAGAACGAGGACAAGACCAATAGACATGCTAACAGTGAGGGAGGAATTCTCATGGGCCCCATCCCTAGACAAAGAACTACAAACAACTAAGGAGTGCTAAAAGCTGGAGAATTAGTCTTCTTCAAAGATGAGACTCTTAATTGGTTATCCAACACCAAGTGGTCAGCTCTGAAATCAAGTACATGAAAGAAGCAGAAGATTGTGTCTAAAGGTTTATAGCCATTGATGTAATGATGATCATTAAAGAAAAAGACACTAATTTGACGGGGAGTAAAGAGTGGTGGGTGATAAGGGAAGGGCTGGGGAGTAGAAAGGGAAGAGGAAAATTGTGTAATATGCTTCAGTTTTAAAAACTAAAATTAATCTGGCAGGGTGGCACACACCTTTAATCCCAGCACTCGGGTGGCAAGGGCAGATGGATCTCTGTGAGTTTGAGGACAACCTGAGTGAGTTCCATAACATTCAGAGCTGTTACACAGAGAAACCCTGTCTCAAAAAATAAATAATAATTCATAAAAATAAGTAAATAAGCTCTTATTGTCATACTCTGAAATACTATATAGCTCTTACAATGAGCTTTATCTACAGGATCTACTGAAAACGGGGCTCGGTTGGTAAAACACTTGTCATTTAAGCTTGAGAACCTGAGTTTGATCCTCAGCACCCCTGGAAGAAAAAAGATGAGTGTGGCCATCAGCAAGCTCCAGATTAACTCACCCTGTCTCAAAAACATGAAGTGGGGAGCAACTGAGGAAGACATTCAGTGTCAATCTCTGGCTTCCACACATAAAAGAAATTCAATAATATAGATAAATAATATCCAGATACAAACATATCTGTGGCAAAATCCTACAAACACACAACCTACCAATACTCAGTCATACAGAACTTGAAAACTGACCATAACTATAAAATCCATAATCAAAAACTCCCCAACAAAAAAAGCCCAACTACCAGATATGTTCACAGATAAACTCTACCAAATATATATATAAAGAAAAATTAACAGCAACTCCCAAGAAAAATCTCCAAAAAATATTCATTGTTCTAGCAATTAGGGGAAAAAATAGAAGAGTGGAAAATACTTCCTAACTCAGTATATAAAGCCCCCAGCCCTCTGATAGCAAAGTAAGACAAGAAAACCACAGAATAATATTCCTGAATAGTATTCACATGACAGTAATCAGTCAAATATTATCAAGCAGTTCAACGGGACAATGAAATGATTAAAAAGTATTACTAAGTGAGAATTTATCTTACAATGCAAAAGAATTATTCAGCATATAAAAATCAATCATTATTTAACAGATGAAAGGAAAAACATATATGGTTATCTCAAAAGCCCCCAAAAAACTGTTTTGATAATTTTAAAAGCCCTTTGAATATTAAAAAAACAGTAGGGTCAAGGAGATAGCTCAGTGGGCAAAAGCTCTTGCTTCCAAGCACATGATGGAAGAAGAGAACAGATTCCTGCATGTTATCTTTGAACCTGCGCGCGCGCGCACACACACACACACACACACACACCTATGCATACACAAATACATAGATAAATGTAATTTTTATCTTAAAAACCTCAATAAACTAGGAAAAGAATGAAACTACCTTAATATAATAAAAGCCACAGATTAAAATAAAATTAACCTCACACTCAGTAGCCAAAGTCTTATGGTTTTTTTCCATTGACTTGGAAATAAGACAAAAATGTCAACTTTTGCTATGCTGTTTATCATACTACTAGAAGTATCATACTACTAGAGAAATCAGGCAGAGAAAAGAAATAAATGTCAACCAAATTGGGAAAAGAAAAAGTAAAACTATCTCTGTTTGAAGATAGCAGGATCTTGCACACACATACACCTAAAGATTCATACACAAAAGAAATGTTAAGGCCAATCAAGGAACTTAGCAAAGTTCCCAATACAAATTTAACACACACACACACACACACACACACACACACACACACACACACACACACTTAAATTTCTATACACTAACAATAAGCAATACGAAAAGGAAGTTACAGAAAGTTACGTTTACAGTGGCCTGGGGGTGGGGTGGGATCTGAAGGGATCAACTGGACTAAGGGAAAACTATTTGGACACCAGAAATAAAAGATTGCTGAGACAAACATTAAAAGATGCAAATAGATGGAAAGACATGCTGTGTTCATGGATTGTAAAACTTATACTGTGAAAATAATGATAGTACCAATAGATCTACAGATTTAATGCAATCCCTATCCAAATCTCAACGCTGCTTGTTTAGTTTTTCCCAGCACCCACATTGAGCAGCTCACAACTCCATCTCCATCTCCAAGAGGATCTGTCTCCTCTGGTCTCCAAAGGCACCTGAACTCCCATGTACATACCAACATACATACACATAATTAAAAATAAAATAAATCATTTTAAAGAACAAGATTTGTTTTGTAAACTTCCCAATTTCAAAATTTATCTTAAAAATTAAAGTAATCAAAAGTCTGGCATTAACCCAAAAACAGACATACAGAATAGAAGACCCAGAAATAAATCCTTATGCATAGTCAAAAGATTTTCAATAGGGGTAATAAGACCCAAAGGTTAAGATGATTGAGAGAAATATTTAAAATGTTAACATAAATTTCATGCAATGAGTATTTGTCATGATTAAAATTTGAATTTAAACATGTATAAAACCCAAACTTTATTGAAATTGAAGTGTACACACACACACACACACACACACACA